TGTTGAAAGCCAAATAAACAAGAGCACGAGTTTATGTAGTAATCAGCTGATATAAGTGCACGAATAAAACAATAAGAAATGTAGAAGAGTTTAAGCATTTCGATAGATGGAAATTCTAGTCGCACAGTGATTTAGACAGGCCGTCGTTCAACTACTGGCTCACCATTGAATCTACAGGTTACTTAAATTTCCATCCGGTGTAACACGTCAACTTTTCTCCATTTTTTATCATTTTAATCATCAAATTGTACTTTTAGTTTGTAACATGTACACTCATCAACGTTTTTAAATAACTTTCAATCTAATACTGTCCACCTTTCCAAGAGACAATATCATAAGAGATTAGATCTTGTTTCAGTTTGAAGAACACTGCAGTAGAATACCATGAGAATCCTATACTGTATGGACATATTCACCTTCACGTTCCAGGTGGAACACAGGGGCTTCAAGCCAGCTTCAGCTTTGAAGTTTTGGTAGCAATGGTGTTTATCTTTACAGGATGGGGTTGCTAGCCTCATGCCCAACCTTGTCTCTTTACCAGTCTTATTACTGGCTTAGCGAGGTAAAGGAGTGCGTCGGTGGCCGGGAATCGAACTCCAGACCATAGGGGGCGTGGTTGGCGAGCATTCTACCGCTATGCCACCGACTCACTAATTCACCGTAATAGTAATAAATAAATAAGCAAATGACAATTCCATTGGAAAGGTAAAGACGCTGGTATACAGTGAATCTAATTGGTTAGTTGACTCAGTGTAACGTGAACTGTGTATGAAGGCTAATGATAAGCTGACTAATTCCCCTTCAAAGTGGAGTTTCTTATCGAAAAATTCAAGTTCCTGGCATAACGTCGATTTAAAAATCCAATTTTTAAAGGATCGATCTATCTGAGCAAAAGACTCTCAGGTGGATCTCATGTCAGCAGAACTGCTACCTATTGCATTTTGGGGTTTTTGATAGTTCAGTAGATGATGTCCTTCGTTGACAAAATCTACTTGAAAACCAAGTTTATATATATATCAGCAGCACTGTTCACCTGTGATTTCACGACGGATCTATCTAAAAACTATAAACCTTCGGTAGGAGTACGTCCTTTTTATCCATACTGAAGATCAAATGGCTGGCTAGAAAATATAATCAAATAAGAACGCTGGCAAGCAGCGAGCCAGCCAATAGCCTATAACCCAACATATATGGAGAAGGAATTACAGTGACCAGATGGGACGCGAATGGAATACAACGGGTTAGGTGTATGACACAGAAGAGATCATATGAAAAGAAGATGAAGTCTTCTGAGCAGTTGTGGAGCCATTTGAGAGCGATGGCGGAGAACTGATCGGGATAGAGATGTGCGCCTGAGATCCTAATCTTCACTTAGAGTGCAAACAATGAACACTGCTACTACTGTAACAACAGAAGACAAGGGCCAGGCAACAGATCATTTATTAAGGAAAATTAACACATATTTATAGATTTTAATGTACATTATTGTAGATTATTGTTAGTAGAAAATACAGTCTTTTGATTGGCTGTTTCTCACAGAAAGTTAACCTTGCATCTCTTTCTGGCTGTGTCAGATCATCCATATGCTAACTGTATCCGCATACGCAAAGCCTTTGTTCTCATTTTCTCACGACCAATATCGGGGACATAAACATTGCCGTCAATTACTGTCTACCAACTTTGGCTAGCAGCCAGCTCTCACCACACTACTACTATCAATAATCTACTCTCAGATTATCTTCAAAGTAATCGAATCTACAGCCAAAAAGAGTTCAAAACTAGGTTGGAATACCTGTCCAATACTCCTTGGTCTTCACTAGTTCTCTAATTGACATTAGTCTGTGATCAGAACCTAAGCAAATCAACTTCCTACAAACTAACTCTGGAGAATTGATCTGCTTCCTAATGATGACTAACTACACTATGAAGTTGACTGAGTTTCTGGCGAGAAGTCGTGATCCGTGGGTTCCAACAGGTTGCGTGTGGGGATGAATACTAGCTGATGAAATTGACTGGCTGTTGTGCTATGTATTCCAGACTGGTAGGAGTTAGAATTCATTGACCGCCCATTGGATACCGTTCCAGTGGCTGAATAGTCAGCAAGCTCGTCTGAATGTCGTGGGTGAAGATTCACAAAGTAGGATGAAACAACTGTCAGGTGCCTTATGCTGGTTTTTAATAGTTCTCTAACTGACATCAATCTGTGATGGAACGTGGGACGAATCAAATCCGTACAAACTAACTCTTAATAATAATAATAAACTAATCTAACGTTTCTAATGAATTTCTATCGTTGTTTTTTGTATATATAATTCAATTTTATCAAAATGACATTTATTGTTTTGTAAGGCATATATATGTACACACACACGTGTGCAGTGAATGTCTCTTTCTTCCTCTTAAGTGGAAAAAGAACATCTTTGTAGCTGAAAAAGCATATAATATAAACAATATTATTATTGAGATTTCTCTGTGTTAACAATGTTTAACTCTATAATGAAGATGTGTTGCCTGCTTACAGGTTAACTATCATTCTTTTTTGTCTTTTCATAGACACTATTTATATTAGATATATACACGTAAACATATGTACATTGTTCTGCATTATTTTTAGCCACATGTTAGATGAGACAAACAGGAGTGTGTAATGTGCATTTTTCTCTAAAAAGTGGTATCTTTCATGCATACGTTTTAGACTATGCATTGTAGTAATTTGATTCTTTCTATCAGTCTCATTAGTTGTAGTGGAAGTAGTAATAGTAGTGTAGTGTCATCCAAAAATCTGATTTAAATATCCCATCAGTGTGTGTTTGTGTGTGCATGCAAGTATGTTTCGTGATTGTCCCATTTCTCTCCCACTCTCTCTCTCTCTCTCTCTCGCTGCCTCTTTGATGAATCATACTTCCATCTGCATTTATGCCTTTTTCACATATCTGCATACCAAACTTGCTATGAAAATAAAATCTGAATTACTGAATCAAAAAATATATATATTGAGAATAATTGTTTAGTTTATATATATGACTGTTATTTTTGATTTTTCTAATGCACTACTGGTAGTTCCACTCAGGAAATTTTATGCCTTTCTTTTTAACTACTTTAGTAGTATGATGCATAAGTCGAAATTTTCGAATGACAAAAATCAGAGGGAAATAAACAAAACTTCATTTAAGTTGAAAACGCATCATTCCTATGATGACTAACTGAGTTTCAACGTAAAACTGTAAACAGCAGTGCAGTGTGTCAAGTTACCACAATCCATATAGTACATAAAGTTGGAAAGAAAAAAACTATATTGGACTGAAATACTTATTTTACTATATTATTGTTCCCTTGGATTCCAAGGGTAACATAGGACTTCAACAAGACATCTCCACATTGTCCTGCTTTCTGCGGCCCTCTTTAGCAGGCCACACGATTGGCTATAGTCTGTGATCGCCTCTGTGTCACTCTTGGACTCCCCACCCGTCTTTTCTAATTCGGATTCACCACTCGAGGGCCTGGCGCGTGATATCATTAGATGGTCCCCTCAAGTGTGTGTTATATCTATCACCAATTCCTTCTGCCATATTTTTTTTTGAGCAATAGGTTCCTGAGTTATTCTCTTACAGAATTTCTCGTTGCTTATTCTTTCTGGTCATCTGGTCTTCACTATGGAGCCAGCGAGGACAGATGTTGACAAATTCTGTAGTGGCCTATTGGAAATGCTTTACGTGCTACGCTAAGTTCCAGACCCATTCAGAAGAACTGACCGACTTAACATTTGATCTGGAAATTCGGATTTCGTTCTTTATGCTGAGTGTTGCAGATTCGTAAACTGACTCCAAAGTGATGAAGGTGGGGTTTGTCTCTCCGATTATGGTTTCCGCATCCTCATCAATAATGTTGGCTGCAGGTGTAACAATGCCTCCTAGATAAGCAAAGGAATTGACGTCTAACAAACTTCTCCCGTTGAGAATGATTGGTGCTTGTGGTTGTTGTTTGGTCATTTCCGCCAATTCCGTCTTCTCTATGTTCACTTGAAGTCATGTCTTTGCTGCTTTTTCTGCCAACTTCTTCATTCTCACCTGTAAGTCTTCCACTTTGTGTGACATTGGGCATGGGTCATCAGCGAAGTCCGGATCTTCTACAGTCTTCTTGTCACTCTAACATATTCCCGTCTTGTCGCTCCCGACTCACAGTCTGACGCATAATGCAATCCACCACAGTTAAGAAACTTATTGTTGATAATAGAAGGCGTTTTCTTACTCGTGTGTTCATTTCAAAAGCTTCACTGGGTTTTCCGTTGTGCGTCGCCTGACACGTGACATTGTCACGTAGCTGCTGAATGAGGGTGCTAAAGATTTGGGGCACTGTACCCAGTAGTGTTGAAGTAGTTTTCAAATTACTTTACTTTCAACTCTGTAGAAGGCCTTTCGAAAGTTGTGAGAAAGAGTGGTAACGAGGGAAAACAAGATTGAACGCATTTGCATTATTGGGAACGATTTTGATCCATGTAATCATAAGTTTTGCAGTTACTGATTCTTGGAATCCAACCAAACGGCTAACACCAGCCAATGGGTCTACACCTCCCTATGTGGCTGGCTCATATAAACAATCAAAGACTTCATTTATTGATGCCAGGCTTGCACGAACCATTCCCAATCCTTTCATAACTTAATCCTGTGTCAGCTAATATTGGTTATCAAGGAAGGCAGTGTCTTGGCACATGCAATACGCATCCTATTTATCTTAATCGATGTAGCGTTATAGTCTGATCAATTGACGTGCCCTCCCAATCTAATGCTGTGCACCTAATCTAAATATTACTCACTGTGTGATACAACTTCGTACGGGAGATAGAACACAGAAATCTGTGATCAGAAGTGCCTTTAATATCATCAGTATTTAAACATTATACAGTGAATTGTTCTAAAGTGATTGTTTCATTCTTTAGAAATTGAGTATCCCTCTCCTTTTTATAGATTTTAAAAAAAAGTTCCTCTTCATTTTCTCTTTAGATTTCCTGGCAAGTGCTGAATTACGACTTCCAACAAAGTAAGTTGATAAATTAATAGATGTTGCATACTTAATGATAGTTTTACATATTCTAGGGTCTAGTGTTCTGCAAGTTAGGATTTGTTTGGTCAAGTTTTTTAACTCTTATCTAGTTCTAATTTTCTTTTCTGATCTCTTTGAGCTCCAATTATAACATAAGACCTCAAGCTTTTCAAGTTTTTGAGTAGCGGTGGTGTCGTTTTAACGGGGTCGGGTTGCTAAGCTCATACTCAGTTTTCTGTCTTTTCTGGGATTACTACCAACCAAGTGTGGCCTAGAAGGCTGTCGGCAGGAAATCGAACCACCGACTTCCTTCTCGGTTGCACAGCATTCTACCATTGAACCACCAGCTCTTTAAACTGTGTATCCACTCAAACTGCTTGTGTTCACTGAGCAATATACGTATGAGACAATATAAATTAACATATGCTTTTCAGAGCAGCTCAGCCCTGCCTTACCCATGTTTTCACTTTTATATGGTTCAAAAATTTGGCGAGTCATCGCAAGGATTTCAAACAGTTCACAGACTTTCATTAGTCCCTACTTTCGCTGTGCGCTAGAGATCAGATGGCCGGAAGAAAAAAGCCGACATGGAACTCTTGCAGCTAACTTACTAAGCACTTGTCATCTAACATATATATAAATGAGGAAATGCAGATAGTTTTGACATACTTTTTCGGCGACCTTCAAGTGACACCACAACTCAGACCCTAGAATCAGATACGAATGGAAAGTGGTGATTTGACACCCAAAAGGTGACATGAAAAAGACCACGTGGAGGGGGATTCCAAGTTTGTGAACTGTGATGGATCCAGCCATCTTTGGTTGTAGAGAAATGATTGGAATGGAGATGTATCTTCGAAGCCCTGTGTTCCACTCAGAAAACAAGGAATAAATATGGATAATAATAATAACAATCATGTAAGATCAGCTGTTGTTAACTTACTACTGTAAGGACATTAAAGACCCAGTCCCGTTGAATGAAAGCTACAAACAAAATAGCTACCTTACAACTATTTAGGGGTATTATATATGCAGTGTAGATTATTGGCAACAGAGGTGAAAGCTTATTGTCACTTAGTAACAAAGCAAAACAAAGTACATGAGTAATAGATCTATGTTTTTAAAATTAAGAATAGTCTTACGTAATCAAGAGGAATGGCAACTAATTAGTTCAGTGGTGAATAATCGTTTGGGCATAATTGATAAGATACACACAAAACAGGTCACAGGATTGAAAGTGACTTGCTGAAAAAAAATCATAGAACGGAATACATAGAGCTTATCATACAGTTATTCAGAAAGATAAAGAAGTAAGGAAAGCAAGCAAAGGCTGGATAAAACGTTTCTCAACACACAGCTTAGGTTTCTCCTTATGAATTGCTAAGGCTTCGGCTGCTACTATAACTTTAAGGAATGAAGCCCAATGTTCCACTCGGAATGCAAGCAAAACGTGTATAGAGTGAGATTTCTAGGCAAAATAATGGTAATTCATATGTCATTTGGAAAGCTGTTGAGGAAGAAACTCTAGAAGAGGGAGACTCTATGAAAAAAAAATGACCTTAGCACAAAATGGATGATATTACTTGCAAATAATGAAAGTAATGTAACGGGACTGTAGGGATTTGGATGAATTTGAATGTAGATCTCGTCACCAACTGATATTAGTTAGAGAGATCATTGAATACCAGAGAGTACTGAATACCTGTTTCGTCCTAGTATTGGACTCTTCATCAGTGCACATGTGAGACCCCTCTAGGGATCGCATCTGCCACTGTTAGGTTGCAACACCAAGCTCATTGACCATACGACACTTACTTCATGTCACTCTCATTGTTAATATTTTTTCATTCCTGTAAATTCCCAGTGGAATATAGGACTTCCAACAAGCTTCAGCTTGAAGTTTCGTAAGCAGTGGTGTTGGGGTTGCTAGCCTCATGCCCAACCTTGTCTCTTTACCAGTCTTATTACTGACTTAGTGAGGCAAAGGAGTGCGTCGGCCGAGGATCGAACCCCGGATCACATTGGGCGTGCTTGACGAGCCACTGTGCCACCGACGCACTATTGTTTTAATATTAGTCCCAATGAAATATTTGATTTACCCTTATCATCAGTCTTATTCTCGTCATATGTGTAGATGTAAATCATTTTTGTAAAAAGAAAAAAACACCATTCAATTAATCACATATTTTTCTCTTTAATTTCAGTATTAACTCTACTTCTGATCCCGACTTAGAAGCTATGCACAATATACAAGCTATGCTTGAACAAATCAGTGAACGTCTCATTGTATCCAATAAGTAGTAGTATTGGTAGTATTAGTAGTAGTATATGAAGTCGGCTTATTGTTTTCTTCAATTGTTATCATCCTTTTGGAATGTTCCTTTATCTTTTCTTTTGGTCAGTTTTTTTTCTAAAATTTCTACTCTACATAGGCGAAATATAATCAAGCATACAAACTCCCTCCTCTTCCAAACATACGTATCTATATGCACGTTTGTTACATCATATGTTTGTGCCTTATGGAATGTTTCAAGAAGATTTCAAATAGAGGAATGCGAAAAGAGGAGTGTAGCTTTTATTCGCATTCGTCTTGGGGGGGAGGGACTACTCTATTCAGTAATGTAAATCAGTTAGCGTGTGTGCATGTGTATACTGAAACATAGCATATAACAGCCAACACTGAACATTTATGCCTATGTATAAATTGAATTTAGAGAGATGATTCACACCCATACATACATACATACATAAATGTACCTCAGCCTACTTTCCTAATTAAAAATCGATTTTAACTAACCCCCCACTCCCTGCTTCTCTTCTTCTTGTTGTTTATCAATATAACTATTATGTAATCATGTTCTCTGACGTTGGCCAACTCCTCCCACAGACACACACACATACACACTGACAGAAACACATGCAGTTAGTTTCCTGTTCAGAACTTAACTGAGGGTGCTATACGATAGCGATTTCATCAAATCACAACCCGACATATGTATGAATATGCATAGACAGAAAAGCTGTTTCTATCACATGAACTCACTTCATGATTAGCGTTGGTTTGACTGATGAACTATTAGTATTATTGAAAAATTTAGGATCCGATCAACCTTTTTTTTAGTTGATACTGTTGTTTCAGAGTACTATTTCCCCTTTCTTCTAATTTATGTCTATTTATTTAGGAATTGATTATGAATAAATTTTCAGATATAATGTATACTTTATTATCATTATTATTATAATGTAAATAAATTTCTCCTAAACTCAGCATTCTTCTATAGAATTAAACAGACTAACCTTAACTCTGGGGTAGGAGGAGGTGTGGGTAAGGATAAAAGCTTATCGCAAGGTATTTTCGTGCATACCATAGCAAACACTACAAGAGATATTCAAGCTGTATGAAGAAAGTTTATATAAAGCGCCTTTAAAATAGTTAAACATAACATTCCATCTGATTACAGGCACGTAATACAAAGTAATTCATGTCGTGTGATCAACCGTCTCTTTTCTACTTATTCAAGCTTGTTGAGACGAAAGAGAGGCACTTTTGATTTGTCATAACTTATACAACCTGGCCCATGACGCGAGGTCATAGTTACTATCGGCAAAGAGTAGAGACTGGTATTCAGCTAACATGGTGGCCTGCTTAAATCACTGGGCTACTAGAGTTCCTATCCATCAAAATGCTTAAACGCTTCTGCATTTCTTATTGTTTTAATCATGTAATTATATGAGATGGTCACTACGTGACCTTGCACTCTTATTCAATTAGCCTCCAACTAAACGCTGGGCAATTCTTCAATGAAGTCAAGAAAAAAAAATAACACAAGTAGTCTTCTCTACTTTTGTTAGAACGCTACGTCAGGTGATACATATTAGATTATTACTGTACTTGAAAATCCTGTGTGAAGAGGAGATATCTTAGAACTGAATATGCTGAAAATTTCTGTTCTCTGTGTTCGCCTATCGTCTGAAATGAAGCTTTATTATTATTATAATTAGCTTACACTAACTACACTTTGACACACAATAGGTAGCTATCCTGTGGAGTAGTCGAGTTATGAAAGGCACGCACTTTGTTTCGGGGACGGTGATCTCAGAAACATACTTTACATTCTTTGAGGCGTCACTTAGTCCCTCGGGTTTTGATTCGATGATTTAAAAATAAACTGGGTCGAAATACATACATATACATGCTTCTACAAAAAAAGCAATCATCTGTCGATGAATGCCACACCAAAATGTCCATATTCATGAGAACTGCAGATCACTTTTATGTGATAAACAATTCATAGCAAGTGGAAATTGCTTCAACACTACGACGTGCAGTGCCCAAGTCTTTATCAAGCTCATTCTACAGCTGGCTACATGACAATGCCACATGTCAGATGATCCACAACGGACAACTCAGCGTGGCGTTCGACTTGAATACAAGAGTAAGAAAAGTCATCCTATTATAACCGATGATATTCTTAATTGTGATAGACTGGATTATGCATCAGACTGTGAGTCGGCAGCCAGAAGGCAGGAATACTCTGGACCACCGATAAGAAGACCGTAGAAGATCTGTGTTTCACGCATGGATAATTTATCTCTGGTGTCAAACAAACTCGAAGACTTTCAGGGGAAAACCAACAAACTGGCAGAATAAGCTGGTAGGGAAGACAGGATTCCAGGGGAAAATAGAGAAGACGGAGGTGATGAAGATAACCAACCAACAGCAACAACAACCAGCACTATCAACAGGAAAGGTGTGACAGAGGTTACTTTCTTCACTTATCTAGGAAGCATCGCTTCACCCCCAAGCTGAATGAATGAAAACGTCAGCGCCAGAATCGAAAAGACAAGATGCGTCTTCATCAAACTGAAACCAGTTAGGAAATCTTTTACTTTACTCAGGCAGCATAAGGAACAAGATTCGGATTTTCAACACCAGTATTAAGTGAGTTAGTGCTTCTATACGGGTCAAAAACTCGGCGTGTCATGAAAAGGATTTCCAACAGGCTACTACAAAATTTCATCAATAGCTGCCTTCCCTGACCAGCTGGTCAGGAAGAATAAGCAACAAGAAACTCTGGCAGGTACTGAACCAATCAAGAGCCGATCGCTCAACAAATATGTAGGAGAAAATGGAGATGGATCGGGCATACGTT